TTCCTAGGGAATAGACAGCAAGAGATATTATCCCTTCTTACAATTATGCTCTGTGCATAATAAGATAGCAAGCCAAAGAAAAAGCCAGGATTAGAAGTACTTTCTTAAATTGAGAGCTTATCAGAAGGTAAAGCTGGTTAACATGATTACCTATGCAACAGCACCAGACCTTCTCACTTAGAAATTCAAGACATCCCCAACCACTCAGGGTATGGGGGTTGAAAACAGCCACATTATATGTATGGATTCTATAACTTAAAGATAGCCAAGTTCATATCAAACTAAGTCACTGAATTTTATGTCACTTTCTAACAAGTAATCATAGAACCATGACAAAACATACAAAATACAGAAGAGTTTTCTCCTTGACTTGGTGCAAATTCAATCCAATTGTTCCACAGATCTCTTTTATTTTAGTCACTTAAATTTTCATTTTTCATGTCCTTAGTCATACATTAGGACAAATGCAAACTATATACAGAAGGCAGCACATTTAGCCTTATTATCTCAAACTCATTCCTAAGTAAGTACATCTGCCTGGATGGTGAGGCCTCCATCAGACGTTAAACGCAAGCCCTAGCTGGAAAGTTACTGGAAGGGCATGTGTCCTACCTGCCTTTCTCTCTCTCATCCTAGATCTTCATCTCCCCAACGTCACCACATTAGGAGTGTTCTGCATATAAGTCAAAACGAAGCCCCAGAGAGCCCTTGGCAGGAATATCTGGACTTACGTTTTAGAAATAGTTTTGTCAGTCGGGCGCAGTGGCTCACACCTGTAATCCTAGCACGTTGGGAGGCTGAGGCGGGCGAGTCACAAGGTCAGGAGTTTGAGACCAGCCTGATCAACATGGTGAAACCCTGTCTCTACTAAAAATACAAAAATTAGCCAGACGTGGTGGCGCACATCTGTAATCCCAGCTACTCAGGAGACTGAGGCAGGAAAATTGCTTGAACCTGGGAGGCAGAGGTTACAGTGAGCCGAGATCACACCACTGCACTCCAGCCTGGGCGACAGAGCGAGACTCTGTCTCAAAAAAAAAAAAAAAAAAAAAAAGAAAAAGAAATAGTTTTGTCATATACACATCTGTGATCCTCTCACTCTGCACACCACTGCCTCTCTGAAAGAATGAACATAACACACACACACACACACACACGATGGACAAAATAGATTTTTAAAAAAGAAATAGGCAATTTCATGATTCTACTGTATCCTGGAGCCATCAGGCCCTATCTAGGGAGTGTTAAACTATGTACAGGCTTGTTTAGGTCCTCAGTAAGATTATGGAAGTGTTTTACTCCCTAAGGAAAACTGAAATTTGAGGTCTAAGACTGGAGTTTTATACCTCTATAATTCATCTTTGGTAACCATGCCCATTTGATTCATAAATAACCTAAAAATATGGATATTTAAGGAGCAGTGTATTTACCTTAGTCCACCTCATCTTTTTCTTTTCAGGAATGTTATCATAAAAATGTGTGCTGATTACTTCCTTGTATCTGAGCTTTGAGCAACTTACAAGGCAGACACTGGACCCAAAACACAGGTTGGTTGTTTTAGAAGAAAAAAAAAAAAAGCTGGTTTTTAATCTGGATTTAAGTCTTGGCCCTGACTCCAAAGCAAGCCAGTATTTATGTCCCTGTCTTCTGTTGCCAGATCTGTAGAAACTAGAATGGCATTCCCCGCTGAGAAACCACAAACTAGTTTCCTTAGACCATTCGTCTTCCTTTTTTTTTTTTTTTTTGACACAGGGTCTCACTGTCGCCCACGCTGGCCTGCAGTGGCGCGATCTCTGCTCACTGCACCTATGCCTCCTGGGTTCAAGCGATCCTCCCACCTCTGCCTCCCGAGTAGCTGGGACTACAGGCATGTACCACCACACCCAGTTGATTTTTCCTATTTTTAGTAGAGACAGCATTTTGCCATGTTGCCCAGTCTTGCATCAAGAGATCCGCCCACCTCGGTCTCCCAGAGTGCTGGGGTTACAGGCATGACCACTGCGCCCGGCCCTCCTTAGACCATTAGTTTTCAAGTAGTATTTGAAGTTCCTCAGAGGTGCGCCAGTATTTGAGAGGAGGTTAAGATTTCAATGACAGCAACTGAGATTTTAAAATCTATTTTGTAGATGGGGGTTCTATCCCATCTAAATTTTGCTTTTTTAAAAAAAGGGTTACTGCCCTTTTTTTAAACCTATGTAAAAACCCATACACTTTACTTTGTTACAGGTGTGTTATAATTTCAAGTTGTCTTTTAAGTACGAGATAACTTTCGTTGTTACAAAACAAGTCAGTGGGGAGTGGATCAAGGAGAGGTAGGTTTGCTCCTTCATTGAACAAAGAAACAAGACCAGAGAGCTCTTTCCTCACTGGGAGTTAGAAATGGCCACAGACACTAAGAACAGAAAGCAAGACACTAACACCAAGAAAGGTTTTAGGAGCTACAATCTCTCATTTGGAAATTCCAGACAGAATTTTAAAGAAAAAAGGAAAAAACAATATATTTCTAAAATTTAAACCATATAAGTCAGAGTAAAAAACAAACAAACAAACCAACCTACTTAGCACAACATAAAAATATTCTGGTTACTCATCCTAGAGATTTAAAAAAAATCAGGAGGTGAGGCAGATCCTATTTTTGTTCCTTCATTTAGTGAATCTGAGTCACGGCTGTTCCAATGATTTTCCTGGTGAAACAAAACACCTATTTGTTCTAGCAACAAAGGGCTACCCTAGGAAACTCATCTTCTACTGCAGTGAAAAAGGTCTCACAGGTATTTTTTGTGGTTCTAATGGGTACTCAGAAAATCCCTATGTGATTTAATAGACTCTTAAAAGGACTGAGCAAAACATGTACTAATATCCAGTGGCCTTTCTCTCTGTATACTGGTTTAATTATAACATTATAATTACAGAATTACAACATTTTAGAATTATAACATTATAGAATTATAACATTCTGCATCAAATCCTTTCAGAAACCTATGAACAGAAGTAGTTACAAGTAAAATGATATGATACCTGAGAATTATTTTTAAATGCTTCGGAAAAGAAAATGGGGCAGGTGGAGGTGCTGAAACAAGAACAGCAAAATGTGGTTAATTTTTGAAACTGGATGATGTATATGTTTGAAATTAACATAATAAGTTTTAAAATCTTCTTAGAGAGTTGGCAGATCATACACTACACACAAATATTGTATATGTTATAGGATCAAAATATGAGATTAAACTAAGGGACTGAAACTATTTATAGAATGTCATTCTCAGGCCAGGCACAGTGGCTGATGCCTACAATCCCAGCACTTTAGGAGATTACTTGAGCCCAGGAGTTCAACACCAGCCTAGGCAACACAGCAAAACTCTGTCTCTACAAAAAAAAAAAAAAAAAAAAAAAAATTAGCCAGGCATGGTGGTCCTCTCCTGTAGTCCTAGCTACTTAGGAAGCTGAGGTGGGAAGATCGCTTGAGACAAGGAGGTGAAGGCTGCAGTGAGCCATGATGACCCCACAGCACTCCATCCTGGGTGACAGACAGCCTGTCTCAGAAAAAAAAAAAAAAAAGAACATCAACCTCCTCCGCAAAAAAAAAGAACATTATCCTCCCACAAATACTCTGTTGGTGGATAGTTTTCAATGTATACAATACAGTCAGTACCTGTTACTCAATATTTATCCACTGCAAACACAACACATAAACCTAAAGAACTCAAAAAGCAAACTGACATTTGTCAGGAACTGCTCCATTGTTGGTCAAAGAAGAGGAAAAGGAGGACTTTCTTCAATATTATTGTCTACTTTCTTGGCAAGCAATAAAGTGTTCGCAGTTTTATGTAGACTGGGGGTGGCGGGGGGAATGTGACATGCTTACACTTTCATATCTATCATGTTACTCTGATCCATGATTTTAGATGGAGTCTGTGTATTTTAATATGGTGGAAAGGGCTGATGAATATCTTGAACTGCAGGGCCTACAAAAAACAATGATGCAATGTTAAGTAAGGGATAAGAAACAAGTAAACAAGTAAAACAATTAGGTAAATTAAAAAGTTTGTTAATGCACAAAACCAAGTAACTGGAGAGAAAAGGACAGAAGAGTCAAAGAGTCAAGGTCCCCAGACCTAGAGTGAGAATGTACACTATTGTGTGCATACCTTAATCTCAAATATAAGCTCATTATCAAATAATTGCGCAAAAAAATCACCTGTTACCTTGTGAAGGATAGAAAGGGTTATTTCTTCCAAAGCTCAAAATGTGGTCCACAGAAAAGGTAAGGTTACATTAGTGGTTCTCAAATTTTAACTTGCACCAGACTCTACTCAAAGTTTTGTTAAACAGATCTCTGGACCCACTCCCAAACAACAGTTTGAGAATTATGTGTTTATACTATGGCTAATTCTTGCAAATTATCTGATTTTGAAACCAGTCACAATTTTTTGAAACTCCGTACACATTCTATGAGAAATATCTTATTAAGAAGAATTTTCAGCCAGGCATGGTGGCTCACACCTGTAATCCCAGTACTTTGGGAGGCCAAGGCAGGCAGATCACGAGGTCAAGAGATCAAGACCATCCTGGCCAACATGATGAAACCTCGTCTCTACTAAAAATACAGAAATTAGCTGGGCCTGGTGGCACACGCCTGTAGTCCCAGCTACTCGGGAGGCTGAGGCAGTAGAATCGCTTGAAGAATGCAGTGAGCCGAGATCGTGCCACGGCACTCCAGCCTGGCAACAGAGCGAGACTCTGTCTCAAAAACAAAAAAACAAAGAAAACAATTTTATGGCAAAGTAAGAGTACCGTACAAAGAGAACAATCACACTGGTTAGAGAATTGCATTGCATGGATAACCAAATTAGTTACACCAAATAATTTGCAAACTTCATCCCTACTTTGGTCATAATAAGTAACATTGTACTTTTGAAAGATATTAATGCCTGAGAACAGAGCTTCATCTTACCCAAACACAGTCTAAAAACAATGCCAACTTCACAGCACTCACTTACATGGTTGATAAACGGAACCAACAAGTCCTCTAATCGGTCCATTTGAATCTGGGGAAGAGCTGGCTCCAATCATTGTCAATTACATCAGCAACTGTGGAATGCTCCCTGAGATCAACAAACTGTTAACTGCAGTGACCACAACTTGACCCAGGCCAGAGCTTCCATCCTTGGGAGGGTGAGTCAATAGCATGTCAGCACTAACCCAACTTCCACTAGGCACAGCAATGCTGTGCTATTTAGACGTGGATCACACGTACACTGCACCAACTTCTAAGCTAACAAGGGACAACCACAGCCTCCGGAAGTCTGTCTTGGGTGGAGTAAATCAATTTCCTTTTGTAGGATATTCTTGGCACAAAGCCAAGTGCCAGGGGTTGTGGAGAGGGAACTGCTGGTCCAGATTCTATCCAAGGTTGACCAGTGGTTTAATCCCTTCTCTAAATCAGGTCTCTGGCAAAACAGCTAGAATCAGGAGGCCAATTCATATTCAAAGTCTATCACGTCTGTATCAGGATTAGAATAGTTTAAGTAATCAATATAGGAACTTGTTAGGCAAGAAGATAACGGAATGAACACCTTTAAAAATTCTGGTTTTTTAAAAAAAGGCATCTCCATTACTTTCTCATGGGAGTTTTGGTACTGGTATTAATTCACAGACTCTCCCTTAAACTCAAATAAATTATCTACTGAAAGAATGGCAAGAAGTACTGCCAAACATCATGGGGTGGCTGGGCTAAATGTTCTCAAGTTCTTTTCCAGTGTTAACACAGCCGGATTATAAGCAACAATTCATTTAATGGAGCATTCTGGAGGAGTAAAGATAGAGGATTTGGAATAAGATTGCATAGGTTTAAATTCTAACACGAACTGTAATTCTGGCCAAAAGGTTATGATTTGGGGTCCTCATCTGTAAAATGGAGTATCTATATCATGGAGTCAGTATGAGAATTAAATAAGCACATACATTTCTCAACATGATGCCTGGCACCTAGTCAACACTCAAAATAGAGGAATGCTAATACTGATGACAAGCAAATATGACACTGCAAAGACCAACGCAAAGAGTCTAATGAAAACTTTCTGAAATTATGTGTCATTGGTTCATTATTTAAGCCTCTGAGGTTTGTACAAGCACAAATTAACTCAAATGTTACTTAATGTTTTACATTTACCATAAACACCCTGACGATATATTTTACAATTTCTTGAGTTTTCCTTACAGTTTGGGCACAGCCTTATCATGAGAGAAAAGAAAGCAACAAACCCAAAGGAAAGGCTTTTCCCTAGACTGCTTTTAATTTTCTAGTAACTGCCCAATTTTGAAAAACAGATCTACAAAACAGGGTTCTGGATGACTGAGTTCTTTTACTTTGGGTACAAGAGCTGATGCTGAAGGAGAAGACAGAGGATTAAGAAATTTACGTTCTGTCATTTACAAACATGGGTATGAACATGAACAGAGCCTCTGAAAACATCTGGCAAACAGAAGACACTATGAGTCAATCAATCACCAATGCTGGCTTAGTAGTCACATTAATAAATATCTGCTGAGTATATACTATGTTCTCTGGGCTGTATTATTTCTTTGAAGCCTCACAACAACCCTAAGTTTGGTACTTTTCTATTGGTTCCAGTTCACAAATGAAGAAACTGGGAAGAGTAAGGGGAGTTTTCAAAAAGAAATAATATCAACAGTTATTACATCAAGGGTTTCACAAATGAAGCATTAAAAAATTCAGGAAGGCAATGAATTGCTTTGCTAGAACTGTGGAAGGCCCTCAGCCTACACAGGTAGCCAATACCTGGTAGACACCCAATTACATCCAGTTAGGTCACCTCTGTATGGCTGCAAGGAGCCAGGGGACATGTGTGATGCCCAGCCACACTACGTACATAACCTGGGGACCATGCAGCAAGATGGAAGAATAAGCAACAGTCTCCAGAATCCAGATGTTAGATCTCAGGGGCAGGGTATGCACAAGGAGTATTTGCATCATTTAAGGTGATAACGCTGCTGTCTCATGGCAACATGCTGGGCAGTATAAGAGGCTTGGTAAATATCCACTGGATCTTCCCTAAACTTAGAACAACCCATCCTGGACGAAGAAAATATCAAAGCCACCAACCTGAGCATGTTGAAGAACCAGAGAGACTTAAGAGGCTGCACCACCACACAGCCCTCACTTGATCTTTCTAGGCTCTGCTAAGAATGTTGCTGCTGGCTTACTGCAGAAACTAACACCTACTCTAAGATGGTACATCCTGTGCTTATCTTCACCAAGCCTCATATCCACTTCTCTGCCAGGCCATTTTAATACTATTAGATGCTCCCCTATTCTAAATTAAGACTGTGTCACTGGGGCCAGGCACAATGGTTGATGTCTATAATTCCAGCACTTTGGGAGATAGAGGTCAGAGGCTCATCTGAGGCCAGGAATTCAAGACCAACCCGGGCAACACAGCAAGACCCCCATCTCTACAAAAAAATCTTTAAAATTGCTGGGCCTGGTGGTACAAACCTGTAGTCCCAGCTACTCAGGAGGCTGAGGTGGCAGCACTGCTTGAGCCCAGGAGGCTGAGGCTGCAGTAAGCTAAGATCACACCACTGCACTCTAGGGCTGGGCAACAGCCTGAGATCCTGTCTCAAAAAAAAAAAGGTAAAGAAAAAGTGAAAAAAAAAATAGTGTCACTCGGCATCACTTAAGAAAATTAATAAAAATAGGTCCTACTTGTATTTCAGAGACAAGTAAAACTTATGTTGAAATGGTCAATACTAGATTTTTATAAAAAGATGTCAAATTTGTAAAAATTCATTCAAGTTATAAGAAATTTTATAATCTTTATTCAATGTCAAAGATAGGCATTAGAAAAACTCAGTATTACTTTACTTTCCATAACTGTCAACTTTTATAAACAAGGTGGTGGAGTGGGAATTAGAATCTGATAATAGTTTTGATCCATAAAATGAGTGGGAAAATCAACTTTAAGGCATAAAAAAATGCTTCAAGTTAAACACTTACTATTAAATATTTAAACAAAAAATGTAATAAAGATACCTTCAAAACTAGCTAGGCGTGATGCCTCATGCCTATAATCCTAACACGTTAGGAGGCCAAAGCAGAAGGATCACCTGAGCCTAGGAGTTTGAGACCAGCCTAGGTAACATAGCAAGACCCAGTCTTAAAAAATAATGATGTTGACGAAGTTTTGATAATCAAAAGTTATTATCCCTTTTGGCTTTACCATAGAGCTACAGAGAGGTGTCCTGGTTAAGTCACTTCTTTCATTTTTCCCTAGCTTTACTGAAGTATAATTGACAAAAATTATGTATATTCAATGCATACAACACGATGTTTTGATGTATGTGTACACGGCGAACTGATTATCACGGTCAAGGTAATTAACAAATCCATCACCTCAGAGTTACTTTTTTTGTTGTGCGTGGTAAGAATATTTAACATTTACTCTCGCAGCCATTTTCAAGTATACAATTCACTAATAATAACTGCAGTCACTATGCTGTACACTAGGTATTAACCTCATAACTGCAAGTTTGTACCCTTTGACCAACATCTCCTCACTTCCCCCACATCCAAACCCTAGTAACCACCCTTCTACTCTGTTTCCATGAGTTTGAGTGTTTTAGGTTCCACATATAAATGAAATCATGCAGTATTTGTTTTTCTGTATCTAGCTTATTTCACTTAGCTTAAGGCCATAAGTACCAGGGGCCTGGACTCCAACCTCACCCCTATAGTTTATTGCTACTTGGGGCAAAGTTATGTAGCCTCCCTGTATTAATCCAATCTCACACTGCTAATGAAGACATATCCAAGACTGGGTAATTTACAAAAGAAACAGGTTGAACTGACTCACAGTTTATCATGGCTGGGGAGGCCTCAGGAACCTTATAATCAGGGTAGAAGGGGAGGAAAACACGTCCTTCTTCACATGGTGGCAGGAAGGAGAAGTGCCAAGCAAAAGGGGGGAAAGTCCCTTATAAATCATCAGTTCTCGTGAGAACTAACTTACTATTACGAGAACAGGATGGGGGAAACTGCTTCTATGATTCAGTTATCTCCACCTGGTCCCTCCCACAACACATGTGGATTATGGGAACTGCAATTCAAGATGAGATCCGGGTGGGGACAGAGCCAAACCACATCACTCACTGAACCTCATTTTGTTTATATTTCATTTTGAGATAGTATTTGCTCTGTCTTCCTGATAAAGCTATGAAGAATACCAAGTTAGTACCTGGTTTCATATATGGTTTATAATACATTATTCCCGATACAATCTCAATTTACTGTTTTTATTCAACCTATTATTGCACAAATATTTTATGTCTTAAGCAATGTGGATTTTATTATAATCTCCTACACTAAATAGTTAAAAAAAACATTAGTTACTGGTTTAGGAAAGGCTACATTCAACCTTAAATTTAAAAGTCAAGTTAAAATTTCCATTAAAAGAAAATACAAAATAAGCTACAGATGTCTTACCATGGTCAATTCTCTTGAACAACTTTCTGGGTTAAAATGCAGAAAATATAACAGAACTCAGTATACAATTCAGTGGGAAAAAGAACAGTTCCACTAAACTGCTTTCTTCTGACTTAAACCATGAGAATTCCACAGTTAGCATTAGTGTCAACTTGAAAAATGGTATTACAAGCACCAACACTAGAAATTTTAGATTGAGGGAGCCGCTCCTTGATGTTCAATGTGCTGAACAAAGTAAAGCAAATGGGCCTGAAGTAATAATTTATGCTTCCAATACTTTCAAAAGCAAGTTTTGATGTAAGAATCAGTTACCCATGAAAATAAACAGATGAAATTCACTGATATGACCTAGTTTTATAATACAATAAAACTTGTTCTTTTCAACTTTACAGAAGTAATGTTCCTCTGAAGAACAGCTGGGAGGATTCTAGATATCACATCAAAATACGTGCCTTCCTAACATTAGAGATGTTTTACGTGGAATGGGATGGCTTGCCTGTGGGATGAAGTCTCAGGGGAGAACTGTCAAAAGCTGGCTGACTACCTACCAGGAATGGCAGAACCAACGAGTCCTACATTCAAGATGTGCCAGGAGGGGGCAACCTCTAAGGCAGTGATCTCTAACGTTCCTGGCACCAGGGACTGGTTTTGTGGAAGACCATTTATACATGGGGTGTTGGGGGTGGGACGGGATGAGACTGGATGGGATGGTTTTGGGATGAAACTCTTCCACCTCAGATCATCAGGCATTAGTTAGATTCTCACAAGGACCGGACCAGGCAACCTGGATCCCTCCCATGGGC